TATTTAATTTGTAGTTTAACTGTCCAATTATCTTTCTTATTTCAACATATTATTCTTGATCAACAATATTAATCCATCTTTCAATTCCCTAGAAACCCTCAAATCTTGTTGGAGAAGTGATCATAAAAAGATTACTTCCTAATCTCCGTTGATTGAGTGATAAAGAAAATCCTAGTTCCATAAAATTTGATGATTCTATTCCAATTTATCAATAATGCACCTCTCCTATTTCCGCATATCTTTGACCTAAAATTAGTGAGTTTCGTGCTCCTAATCACTAGAACTAAAGCTCAAAGGTTGAATCACTTGAGAGAACAAACTTGTCAAAAAATAATAAATCACTATACTACATTACAATTCCGAAATACAGTAATTCTATGGAGCCATCGGATGGTTCCCTTATGGAGCCATCCATAACTTTATGTACTAGTAAAATATATATAAAAAAAATTTATTTTTTAATTCATGAAAAAAAATATGAATCAGGAAAATAATTCTAAAAATTGATTTTGATCAAGTAATTGCTATGAAAGAGCCGTTACAACCATTTTCTTTATGCTAATACGCCCGGCCATTTTCATGGGTGGGTGTGACTTAAAATTCGAGTACAATTTTGTAACTCCCTTGATTGGTTTATGCTCATAATTTATGACATTCAAGCAAGTTATTTTGTAACTTAAAAATGAAATTGAATGCTGAAAATTTTTGGAGGGAGAATAAAATTTAATGCATGAGAATAAAATTTAATGCATGGTAATAAAATTAAATGTTTTGTTGCTCCTCTTTATATATATATAGATTGACACGTGTCTAATGTGTATTTATTGTAGGACACGTGTCAATACACCATTTGTAAATAACTATGGATGGCTCCATAAGCCGAGCCATCCGATGCCTCCATAGCAAAACCGTTCCAAAACAATATAGGACAAAATTAAAACAAAACTAAGTTCAATTTTGACTACAAATTATTGGACTACAAACCATTTGGAATACAAATTATTAAAATTCTTCCATATTAATCCTATTTGGCTTACAAACCATTTAATTTGCGACATTTCACATGTTTTTTCAATCAAAATATTTGAGCATTTTAATTTTCTTCTTCGATTTATTCAATTACAACGTTGTAATTTGAGCATTAAAAATGCTTCTAGTGTGACACAATTGTTTAACAAATGTGCATAAATTTATAGCATAACTTCTTCAAAAAAATAAATAAATAAATAAATAAATAAAAAATTGAAACAGCAAGTGACAAATAAAACTAATTCAACAAACCTTCCCTATCCCCAAGCCCAAACGCGGCATATTATCCGCATTTTGTTTTGTAAGTACATCGGTATTATAGATACAGAGATGTATATGTAAACATCAGTAAAAAGATTTCATAGTTAGCTCTGCCCTCAAATTTCCACCTCCATCACTCACTCACTGAGGGAGCTCCAAAAGGACCCACATATTTTTTTCTTCACATCTTAGCCCCCGAAAGAAAAAATTTGATTAAATTCGCAAAAAACCGAAGTATGTTGTGTTTCAAGAATAAAGTTTCTTCCTTTCTGATTCTGACAACGTTAATCATTGTGTTCTTCTCGCTCTTTGCGTCTTCAGGTGAGTTCTCTTTGTTTTACATCAATTGGGTGGTTGTTCTGATATGGATTCTTGTTTGCAAGTGATTTTTTTTCCTCCTTGTTCATTTTCTTTACAAGAATTGTTGTCTTGAATCTTGATATGCTTAGCAGGAGCCGCCCAAAACGACGTCGTTCGCAGAGGAACACAGAGGACTGTCTTGAAAGCTTCGAACTCAAGTGATTTAGTGTTGGCTAGGGAAAGAACGCGCAGAAAAGACCCACTCGAGAATCATAGTTATTACAACGGGGGTTGGAATATCAGTAATGAACATTACGTTTATGTAAGTTTTCGTTCTTCTCTGTATTCTTTTAAGAGCAACTTTCATGGGCAATTTCTTTTTTTTTTTTTTCATGAGCAATTTCGATGAGGTTTAAATTTGAAACGCGGTGTTACAATTGCATGAATGATGATGGGCACACATTTAATAGCTATCTATTCTCCCATTTATGTGCCAATTTTGTAACCTAAAATTTGATCCCAACTATATTTCAATTTTTTTTTCATTAAAATACTGAAAATCCCATTTATGTGCCAATTTTGTAACCTAAAATTTGATCCCAACTATATTTCAATTTTTTTTTCATTAAAATACTGAAAATTTAAATAACAAATGTATAAGTAAAGGGAATGATTATAGTCCCGTTATAGGACGGTTCCGTTAGTGTTTTTCACTGTTGGATACTCATGTAGATTATGTAATATCGATAATTTACGGTAACAAACACTGACGGAATGATTCCGTCAACAGGATTGTAGTAATTCCCATAACTAAAATATATTTGTTATTGTAATATTTATGTGTAATAAATTTCTCTTATTAGTTTTTCTTTTTTTTAAAAAAAAATGTAATTGTACTTAAACTATATTTATTATGATATACAATAAATATGTCATTGTGAAAAATAAGAGTAAAGCTTTTAGTAAATTGAATTAAATTGATATATAAATTAAAATAATTAGGAAACATGCAGGGCCCATTAAAAAAAGGTTTGTGATGGTTTATGATTATTATAGGTTTGTGATATTGGAATTAAGAATGAGGTATAAATGATGTGGAGTATTGAAAATGTAAAAAAAAAGGTCTACAAACCTTGTGTGGTTAAAGTTGCTTTATTCATTTGGAATTTCTAAAGATTGTTTAAGACTTCATAAATCCTGGTTAATTTAGTTTAAACTTTTTAAAACTTAAGATTTCAAAAGATTCTTCCAAATTTGAAAATCTTAAAAAGTCTCAAAATAACACTCGAAATCCCAAACAAATATACTCCTCGTAAATTATTGCACCCATTGACTTTTTTTTTTTCGTATAAATCACGACATTTTTATCAGAGTATAAAATGTATTTAGGCTCTTTTATGTAAAACACACTTTTATATTGAGTAGCGACTTTTAGGGGTGTTCACGGTTCGGATTGGTCCGGTTTTAGCCCAAACCATGACCAAACCGGACCTAACGGTTAATTTTTTTTCTTGTCCATAACCGGACCGGTTTTATTTTTTAACCGACCACAATCCGGACCGCATTGGACGGTCAGGTTTGGCGGTTAACCGGTTAAATCCAAACTTGTTTTGGGCCTTCAATTTTTATTTTTTTCATTTTGGGCTTAATTTTTGTTTTTCAATTTTGGGTCCTAAAGAGATTATTTAGGCTTAAAAATTAAGAAAAACAACAATAATGAAATAAAAAGTACACAATTCGTCTTATAAGCATAAAAATGCACATTTCCTCCCATAAACATAAAAATACAAAAATGATGAAGATTAATTATGCAAACTGAACTCAAGCGAACATTCATTTTTCAGTCAGTTTATACACCTGACATAATAAGAGCAAAGCATTCATAGTGAATGTATTGTATTTGTCGGTCATAGTGAATGACTGAATGTATATATATATTTGTTATAGTTTTTTAACATTTACCGGTCCGATCCGGTTAAACCGGCGGTTTGCCGCAGGTAATCCGTTAACCGGACCGGTTATTCCGGATTTTTAAAAAAATTAACCACGGATTTTTTAAGGATTTTTTAACTGACCATTTAACCGATTCGCGGTCCGGATTGACGGTTTTTTCCGGTTAAAACCGGACCGTGAACACCCCTGGCGACTTTACATATATTTATGCTAATATAAATAGGAAATTAGAGCACTTTTACACTACGTTTTCATCAACGTTCTGAAAACCGGCGAAAAACCGGTTGATTAGGCCGCTCAATTCAGCAGCTCAGTTTTTCTTTTGGACAATTCACAGATTTTAGAGGAATTTCAATATTTAGGACTCAGTTCGCAGGCCTCTCAATATTTGGGATCCAATTCGCAAGCCTTACAAAATTTGACACTCAGACTACGAATTGTTTCAATCTAAGGGATTTCAGCCATTTTCTTTTATTTTCTCTTTTTCTTTAATCTTTTTCCCTCTCTCACCTCCTAGAAGGACCAAAATACCCCCAGGCAGGAATCAGCAGAAACAATCGATCTCCTTTTCCCGTGAGCGTCTGTCCGCGACTTCTTCGCCGCGACGGACGAGCTCCGCACTCCTCCGCCGCCACTCCACTGCTGGCCAGCGCCCTCCACCCCTCCGCCGCCCTCTCCCTCCCCTCCCGAACCTTGTACGAGCTGTCCTGAAGATGCAACAGCTGTAGCTCCAGGAAGAAGGTACGGCTAGGGTTTCAACTGGACCAAGAAGAAGGCCCGGCGTCAGACTGCAGTGGTCGATGCCATGATTCCCTTTGAGATCCCTCCGGGGTAAGGCACAATCCTCGATTTTTCTTCAGTTTGCTCTCTATTTCATAGTCTGTAGATTTTGGGGGCACAAGCTTATTTTTGTCTCTTTTATTGTTTTTGTTGGTACACGGTAGAATCGATACGGAAGCTGCATTTAGACTGTGTGTTCAGATTTCTCAGTTTACCGCAAAGCTCAACAAAGCTCAAGAACGTTATACTTTTGTGTGCTGGGAAGATGTATGGGAGAAAAGTGACAAAAATCAGAGAAATAAGGTGTTGGACGAGCGTCCAGGCCATCAGCAAAGAGAGGAGGGTAGTATAGTCATTTCCCGAGGCCCAAACAGTGTAAATAAGCATATGAAAATAAGAAATGAGTGAAATCCTTCATAATCCCCTGAATTGAAACAATTGGCAGCTTCAGTGTCAAATTTTGAAAGGCTTGCGTATTGGATCCCAAATATTGAGAGGCCTGCGAACTGAGTCCTAAATATTGAAATTCCTCCAGATTTTAACACATTTATTTTGTCATTATCTAACATTTTTCTGTTTTTCAATGCAGTCTGTGCTTTACACCGGCTATCCCCTTTTCCTTACTGCAACTTTATGGTTCATTTTGTTCGGTCTATTCTTGCTGCTTCTCTGCATCTATGTTTGCTGCTGTAGGCGCATGCACTATGGCTATCCAAAATTCGATTATGGGTTTTATCTTCCTTTTTTCTTTCTTGCTCTCTTCTCAGTGACTACAGTGTAAGTATAATACAATCCGTCTTTTTCCCTTTTGTTTTCTTTTCTTTCCCCAAATGTAAATTCAAGATTTTTTTTCCTTCAAACTCATAGCTATTGCCTATTGTATAGTCCGAGACGGGCAAAAGATGTTTTACGAGAACACAAATAGTACACTAGACTTTGTTTTACAGCAAGTGGACTCAACAGTTGAAAACCTACAAAACGTGTCGGGTTATCTCACGACTGCTAAGAATGTTGGCGTCAATTATGTTTTTCTGCCTCGACAGCTCCTAACCAACATTGATAATGTCAATGGTATGATTAAAACTGCAGCCAACACACTTGAGAGTGCAACCAAGAATAATACAGATGATATATTCCACTATTTGGATGTTGTGTAAGTTTATCTAGTTTCAGTTTTTATTTTTTATTTTTTTGGAAAAGATATGGCTTTCTTAATAAAATTTGGTTGCTATGATTTGCAGGCTCCGAGTTGTTTATGTGGTAGCGCTTGTAATATATGTCCTGGTTTATCTTGGAGTCAGTAAGTCTTATGATTTTTCCAAATGTCTGATAGAATTGGGGATAAGTTATCAGGCTGAAAAAATGTCGGTCTTTTGAATATTACAAATAGTCCCTTGAGAAATTACAAATACCGATTTTGATGGTACATAAAGTTTTCCTCTTCGTCCCTACAAAACCCCACTAGTTCCAAAATGTAAAAACACATGAGTTTTCTCTTGATTCTCTGATATTTGTCATATTCTTTCGTTGCAGTTGTATCATTTACGGGCCCGAACTTTTTAATATACTCGTGAGTGCATCTCTAAGGACAATATTTGCCTTTACCTTTTGGTTCTCATCTTTTACTGCTCATCTTTCTTCTGGACGATCGTGAAAAAATCGTGTGATACTGTTTTTTCAGCTTGGTCTTCTGCAATTGGATTTTCATTTCCATGAGTTTATTTCTGAGTGGCATATTTATCGCTCTCCACAAGTAAGAGTTTTCTACATGATCATGTTATTTATATGTTCCCATCGATAGTTCTCTAATAGCAAAATTGCAATTTTAGTCCTGTTACTTTGATGCAGTGGCGTTTTTAGTCATAAGAATTGAACATTTTCGTTATTTGATCCAGTGGATGGATTTTTTATTAGCAATTTAAGTCCTGTGATTTTAAATTTTGTTGCAATTTTAGTTTCAGATGACAAATTGCAGCAAAATACTAAATTACAGGATCAAAATTCAAAAAGTTCAAATATTGGGACTAGAAATGCTACGGCGTTAAACCAGTAGGAGTAAAAATATAATTTTGCCTTCTCTAATTTAGCACAACTCTTGTGTTTTATGTACAAAAGTGCAACGGGAGACACATGCGTGGCAATGCACGAATGGATCGATAATCCAACGGCTCACACAGCACTAGACCATATCATCCCGTGCGTGGACCCCACCACTTCCCAAGAAGCACGTTCGCAAAGCAGAGAAGTCACGATCCAGATGGTCCAGTTCGTAAACGGGATTATTGCTAATGTATCCAACCGTAAATTTCCTCCCAATTACTACAATCAATCCGGGCAGATGGTTCACCTCCTCTGCAACCCATACAATCCCGACAGGACGGATAAAAGGACGTGTCCAGCTGGCAAAATCGACCTGAACAATGCAACTCAATTAAAAATGGTACCTTTTTGTAATTAGACTTAACCCTGGGGCTGTTTTTGTAATCCCTCTTACATAAATGCAGGCTTATGTAAATTACGAGTGCTGCCTAACCCCTAGCTTGTATGAAGAGGTGAGTCGGGCCGTGAATGTGAGCTATGGGCTGCACCATTACGGCCCGTTCTTGAGCGATTTGGTTGACTGCACGTTTCTTCGGGACACGTTCACCACCATTTACGACCGTCATTGCCCTGGTTTGAGAGAAGTCAGCCAGTCAGTTTACACTGGCCTGGTTATGCTCTCGACTGGACTATCTCTCACGATGATATTTTGGGTGCCCATCAATCAAGATGTACGGCGCACATGCCAAGTCAGATCAGGAATCCGATGAGTGGAAGGGGCCATGAGAGTATTTTAGTCCTTGGTTTATTAGTAAACATATTTAACTATTTATTCCTTTTATTTATTATTTATTGTTAGAATTTTAGTCCTTGGTTTGTCAATAAATTTATTTAATTATTTTAGTCTTTTATTTAGTAGGAAATATATATAATTATCTTTTAGTTGTTAGATAAGATTAGGGCTTTTTAAGAGATCTATATAAAAACTCATATTTTCTTGTGTTCCAAGGATTGAATTTGATTAATAAAGATATTTGAGAATCTTTCTCTTGTTTTATCCATTTCGTTACGTTTTAGCTACGTTAGTTGATATCATGTTAAGATAGGCTTTAGTTATTTTGTTAAGATATCTTTGGTTTGATATGATTTTGATTTGGTAGTAGTTATTTTGGTAATTAGATATTTGATTTGATCTTGATTGTTTTTTATCTCTTGCAACCTCTATATATTGGATGTAATCTCACTGTTACGAGCAATAAAAAATACATATTTTTCTCTTCTCTACTCTATACAATCTCTCTTAGTTTTAACAGTATGATACCTACACGAAATGAGCTGTAAAAGAAGCTCGCGCCCCACGGGCCGACCTGCCTCGCCCCACAAAAGGGACATGTTCGGCCGGGATTTTCTAGGCTCGCTGAGGAGCGGGCCAGGGCGGGCTAGCCCGCGGGATGGCCCGCCTTATTTAAAATATAATATATATATATATATATATATTATATTAAATTAGAAATGTAGAGATCACAAGCAGATTCAGATTTCATTTGCAGAACACAACTCGCACGCACCTAAGTCCTAACCCTAACCTCTCGTCGCTCGTCTTTCAGCCTCCACACACTGCAAGAGCAAGACCGGTGACTTAGCCTCTCCTCTCCGGTTCTCCGACCTCCGCCCACGTCTTTGCCTCCGGCCCCGGTCTCCATAGTCGGCGTTCAAGAACCGCCTCCAGCCCACGCCTCTGCCTCCGGCCTCGGTCTCCAGAGTCGGCCTTCAAGAACCGCCTCCAGCCTCTGCCTCTAACCTCCGCGTCCGGCCTCCGCTCCAGCCTCCTGTGCCGGCCTCTACCTTCAAGACCCATTAAAGCTCAGCTCCTCTGCCCTCAGGTTTTTTAATGTCGACACAATAGATTTTGTTTTTAGATATATAACTGGGTTGCGGTCCCAATTCAACCCAACATTAGCTTATCGGGCTGAGGTTGCAGCCGGCAAAATTTCATTTTTGGTACGTTAATTTGCCCAAAGTCCGATTTTGGTACATTAAGTTTCCCCTCATCAAAATTGGTACGTTTACTTGCCATTTTCGTCAATTTTAGTTCACTAATCCGTGGACCTTTGGTATAGGTTCAAATCCTATTGGACGTAACTTTTTCCATCTATTTTTTTCAATAGAAAGCAATGATGACATGGCAACCATTTAAATGACGTGGGAGGATAGGATTGTGAACTGGAAGAATACGAACCTGATTAGATATAATTATCTTGACGTGGCATTTCAACCATTCTTCTCCCGTGGCATTTCAACCATTCATCTCCCATTTTTTTAATCTGTAATCGCGCCCCAAATTGAACACAACACTCGAAATCCCTAATTTTATCAAAATGAAACGAGTTCGCCCCAAACCATCTGCTACCAGAAGATCAAAATTTGGGAGTGCTTGAGAAGATTCTTCTTGGAATCGATGTTCCGTACTACAAGATGATGTTGCAAGCAAAGAAAGATCGACATCGACCCCCTCCTAAATACGGTAAATCTAATGAAATTTTGTATGCGAATTTGTTGTAAATTTCCAAAATTAGGGTTTACGTGTTTTCTTGCATTCTTTTGTAGATAGGGTTTTCAACTTTATATATTGATGTGATTTTTTTCAATGACTTGTTTATAATGTGCTTTGTACTTTTCAGAAATAGGGTTTAAGTATTGTGGGGCTGTGTACATAGGATTTTGCAATTGTTGTTCTATTTTGTTGTAATATGTGATTTGGTTTAAAGTATAAAAAGCATCAAACATGTAGGTCCATATGCTTGAAAAGTTATTCGATTATTACATTTATTTAAATTTTGTGGGGCTGTGTACATAGAATGGTGCAATTGTGGTCCTGATTTTGCCTGAACATTTTCATCTTGGTGGTGGTTACATGTTGAAAATTGTTCAATTATTAATTGTTTTTTGCAGCCTTGAAAAGTGAATTTCTTACCCTTGGTATTCATTATGGGGGTAGTTTTGACATTGGGCCAAGCTGCTCAGCATATAATGGAGGGGTGAGTGTAGGTTTAGATTATGTTGACTTAGGGGCAAATTGTCTTGAGGACTTTATTAGTGTTGCAGAGAGGAGAGGGGTTAAAAACCCATGAGATTCTATGTCAAAAAAGGTGGTTGATTTGTGTTATTAAGTTCAGACATGGATTTGTACAGAAGCTGGGATGGGAGATTGGGTGGTTTTAGACAAATTAATATTTATGTAGATGATATGAGAGGTGCTGGAGTTGAAAATGAAAAAGAGTGTGGAGTAGTTGATGAGAATGAGTGTGAAGTAGAAAAACAAAATGTGAATGGTGAGGAGGATATTGTGAATAGTGAGCGAGATGATGATAGTGAAGAGTTGTATGAGTGGGAGTATGACATGAGGGAAGATATAGTAGATGATAAGTTATTATCTGAAAATGTTGATAGTGAAGCTGAGTGGGGAGGGGGGGATGACTTTTTGTTTGAAGGTGTGGACAATTATGATTCCAATGAGGAAGACATAAATGATGAGGTAGATGTGGTCTACAAGGAGGACATAGATGGTAAGAACAGCTCTGATGAGGAAGTAGAGGGCCAACAGTTTCCTGCTTTTAACCCAATGGAGCTATATGATCCAACCTTTAAAGTAGGAATGGTGTTCACTTCAAAAGAGAAACATAGGACAGCTATTCATTCTAGGGCAATTAAATGCAAGAGAAATATAAAAATTGTAAAGAATGATAAACAATATCTAAGGGCAAAATGTTGTGATACTTTGTGTCCTCAAAAAATTAATGCAGCCAAACTTGTGGGTGAGCAAACATTCCAGGTCATTAAGTACAGTCAGAGGCACACTTGTGCAGGCATAGGAAAAGTTAAGAGTTTGAAGTCTAGTTGGTTGGCAGGGAAGTATGCCACTGAATGGCAAGATGATCCTAATATAAATGTTAAAGGTTTTAGAAAAACTGCTGCCAGAGAGCTGAGGGTGCATATCTCCAAAAACAAGCATATAGATGCAAGATGAAAGCTATTGCAGATCAGAAGGCTGAACCTCTTGTTCAGTATGCACTGTTGTGGGATTATTGTGAGGAAATAAGAAGAACAAATTCTGGGAGTACTGTAGTCTTAGATACTAATAAGTTCAATAATGAGAACATATTTCAGAGGTTTTACCTATGTTTGAATGCACTGAAACATGGGTTCAAGGCTGGTTGTAGACTTTGGTAGGAGTGGATGGTTGCCATTTGAAAGGACCTAACAAAGGTATATTGCTCACAGCTGTTGGGATTGATCCTAACAATCCTCTTTTCCCTTTGGCATATGCAGTGGTTAGTGTGGAGAATACAGATAATTGGGAATAGTTTTTGATATTGCTTAAGAATGATTTGGAAATCAAGAATCAACATGAACGGACATTTATCTCTGATAAACAGGAAGGGTTAATACAGCATTCCAAAACATTTTGCCTGACTGTGATCATAGATTTTGTGTTAGACACTGGCTTGGGAATTTCAAAAAAGCTGGGTTCAGAGAAATTGCACTGAAAAATGTTGTATGGAGGTGTGCCACAACATCAACCATCAATGAGTTCAGCAGGAAAATGCAACAGTTGAAGGATTTGGATGAGGAAGCTTACAAGTGGTTGGCTGGTAAACCACCTACTGAATGGAGTAGATCTCACTTTAGTGAATTCCCAAGGTGTGATATCCTACTCAATAATGGATGTGAGACCTTCAATTGTAACATTTTTGAGGCTAGAGAGGAACCAATTTTGAGTATGTTGGAATGGATCATGAACTACTTAATGAAAAAAAAAATGCAAGATAATAGGGACAAAGCTTCAAAGAAGTGAAAACTCAGACAATTTAAAGTGCCAAAGATTTGAATTGTCTGTAGTTGGTAGGTCATTTTTATACTTTTATGCCTAAAAAAGAGTATTATTATAATATAATCTATAAGAATATAAAAAGGTTGATGGAAAAATACAAAAATAGTATGATTGACTTGAAAAATAAAGCTTTGACTTACTAATTTAAGTAACACCAATGGGGCCCACGCGATAAAATTAAATTTAAGTAATAAATATCTCATAGCAAAATTAGTTCGGATTTTCTTAACCAATGTCAACAGATTCTGTGGGATTTTATTCTTAACCAATCTCAACAGATTCTGTGGGATTTTATATGTTCACAATTTTCATAATTACTACACGATCTTGAAGATAATGATCGAAATTGCCTTACCAAAATTATCGAATTTTGTTTGACTATATTGCTATGATTTTGATTGTCTTACCAAAATTATCGGATTTTGTTAACTATATTGCTAAGATTTCGATTAATTTTATATATGAATTGTTACCAATTTTCCACGATAACTACAGATTTTTAGGGCAGCTACAAAATTGACGATTTGGACAACTTTTCACATTTGTTTGGAAATTATTCTTTTTTTTTTTCTACCAACAGATATATGGTCCGATTTTGTAGGATTGTATTTGTTCACAAATTTCTTAATTACTACATATTGCATCAAAATTTGTCCAAATATTTTTGCCAACTCATCATAAGCAAAATCAAGTAAATCGGATAGGATCCGACGGGATATTGATCATATCACAATAAAAAATATCAGATAGCTATTGAATTTGACGGCATATTAATCATATCACTATAAATATCCTATCTTTCTAATCAGAAAGCTATCGTATTATTTGACGNTTTTTAACATTTTGAACAAATATAGATGTTAAAAGCTAAGTAAATTATAATTTGCAAACATTCATCACTTTATTTTAAATTTAAATAAAACAAAATGAAACCTATATCATTGAACACCGGAATTAATACATTATTTTTTTTGTCTTCCAATGCTTAAGTTAATAATATAACCACACAGAACTAACTGTAGGATTTTGTAATAATTAAAATTTTCGAACAACAAATACAATATATAAAATAATTTAGAAATTAATAGTAAATATTAGAGCCCCATACATAAAAAATAACATTATTTCTTTATATTGTAATTTTTTTCACGGCAGAGTTGGTTATGAAACGTAATAATGGAATAAATAATATCAACACCTCACATTATTAAATAATTATAAGAAATAACATATTCAAGCAAATAATCTATACATAATAAAAAGAGCAGTTGGGGTACATAACACTAGCATTGTAATTTATTTTTTAAATAATTATAACATAATAGAATTTAAAACGTTTTTTTATCATCAAACTGGTAAGAGTTTGTGATTGATAGAGTCAACAACAAAACAACTCTTTGTGGTTATCTAAACAACTGATATAATACTAACACATGTTACATACACATATATCGGTATAAAGAGATAAGACAGTTTTTCATTATGTTTCGTACGCCATGACTATAAACAAGAGTTAGGGACAAATCCTTATCTAATGTTGGCTTATTTCTTAATAAACCAGTGTTCGGACATGACCAATTATACGCTGTCTCCCAGTGTCACTAGCCGAAAAGGTTTGAAAATCTTAATTTGTGGGAAAGAACCAAAGAATCAAACCAATAATGTTGTAAATAAGGAAGTGTTCAATAATATATAAATTTTTCAATTTAATATATTATATGTTTATATTATGATCATTACATTATTACACAATTTATATGCAAAATTGTCTTCTAAAAAGCACATAGATTATAATTTTCCTGTGCATCGCACGGGTGATTACTAGTATATAAATATACGTTAAATATTTTAATATCGTTGGGCGGTTATGATGCGCGTAGCACATCAAAGTATGCGACACGTGGCAGTACGTGGCAACAAATCACTGAAAATCCCAGGAGCTGCCACATGATACTGACGTGCACTTTTGGCCCATATTTTCTTATGAATTCCTTTTACTTTTTATCTTCTTTCCTTTTGACGCCCCTAATAAGATAATTTAGAATGGGTAATCCAAGATTTATTTACTTTTAAAATATTTAAAGATACATTTTTAATCTCATTTCTCAACTGTAACAAAATATCATATATAACCTAATTACCTAAATAACATAAACAAAAGCTTTGTAACACCAGTTTTCATAAAATAAATATTATACTTGAAAGGAGCGCTGAAGATGTTTAAACGATATTATTATTCTTATTAAATAAAAGTATGAGTAGTTACTAAGCAAAACACTTGTCACTATGCACTGTGATTAAAATAGTAAAAATTAAATCTTTCGAAGACATGTCAAAGCTAACAGAAAAAAATTGCAAAAGATAACAGTTAGAGATAATTTAAATTTAAAATTTAACAACCACTCAACATAAGTAGAAAATTGCAAAAGATAACAATAATGAGTACCCATTCGGAATAAAAGAAAAAAGAAAAACTGTAACGGCCGAACCCACCGCCTTTATCTCAGCAAACCGCCCACATAATTTCGTTTGTCGAAAATACCCCTAGCCTGTCATTCTAATTCCCACAACTGCCATCGCCGTCTCCACCTATATAAACGCCGCTTCAATCTCCCTTAGGTTTGCCAAAATCGACATCCGATCGGCACTCTTAAATCCCAGATATTAAAATAGCTCAGAAAAATTCAAATAATTTTAGTGGTACAAACAAAACAGCCATGGAGTCGTCTTCATCGAGAAAAAGTTCGGCGCAAGGTACAACACTCCACAGCCATCTGCACCAGCGGTCGCTATCGCCGTCCAGCCGATTCTGCTCCTCCTCCATCTCGGCGTCGTCTTCGTCCGGCTTCGCGACCCGATCCACGAGCCCGACCCGGGTAACGCTTGGAAGACCCGTTTCCCCTTCCCATTCGGTTCGATTCTCCACCACGAGAAACCAATCGATCGCGTCGCACCACCACCACAAGATACAGAGCGGCGGCCGGTCGTTGAGCTCCGGCGCGAAGAAGGCGTGCACGTGCTCCCCCACGACGCACCCGGGTTCATTCCGGTGCGGCCTCCACAAGAACAGAAGCCAGCCGGCGGCAGCAACGCCGTACCGCTCGAGCCATCAATTGAATATGTGGAGGTCGGCGATGACGAACTCGCTGGTCCGAATCGGGGCGGTGGAGGGCGATCTGGTGAGGAGGGCGCTGGCGGCGCTGATCAGGCCGTCGTCGCACAGCCTCCGCCGCCGGCACGACTTCCAGCCGCGGTCGAGCCGGCTGTCAGTGATGTCTAAGGCCGAGGCTTGAGAATTCTGTCCCCCCCTCTTTTGATTGTACAGGAATGACTCGGTGAGTTGGAACGCCGAGTCGAGTCGGAAACCTGAATTATGAGTTCTTGTTTAGAGAGAACCTTTTAGGGATTTCCTTTTTTTCTTTTTCTCTTTAACCTTTGAAGACTTTATTTGATATGAAAATTAGTAAATATTTTTTCATTGCGCATCACTTGGATTAGACGAAAATTAGTTTTGAAGATAATTTTGCTCTCACTTTTTTGGGCAATGGATAATCTGGTGTGTGACCTTTTGTGGTGTAAAAATTTGCCTTTTTTGGCAGTTGAAATATTATAATTTTGACACGTTGTTATGGAATTTGTGGATGATAATATTCAATCAGTTGTGTGTTATGAACTTACATGATGTGATGGTTTTCTTCACTAGTATGGTAGACGACAGCATTTATTATCTATTTATTTTTTAAAAGATATTTTTGTATTTAAATTATTTCGTGGTATTAAACATATCATAAAAATAAAAATTTATATATTACTCTCTCTTCTATTTTTAATAAATGTCATTTTGAGAAGTTGCACAATAATTAAGAATATTTTTTACCAATAATAACCCTCAGATAGAGATTGATGTTTTGAGAAAAGATGGAGAGTGAATATGAAAATACGTAGTGTATTTATTAATTAGAGGCGTAACAATGGAAAAATATGTACTACAAAATAGTCAAAATGATATTTATTTAATTATTTAATAAATAATTAATTAAGCTAGGATGACAAATAATAAAAATAGGAGAGAGTACTAAATATTTCCTTATGTATAACATTATTGGTTTGTTTAATTGACACACAAAATACTACATAGGTGTTCGAATCTTATCTAAAATTGTATATTATTAGTTATTAATTAATGAATTTTAAAAAAATTAAAGGATCTTATTAATTAAACTAATTATAGTAGGAAAAAATAGAAATTTTTAGGGTTTTTCATCCATTATTTAATTTAAATTTAATTTTAAATTTCAATTAAAAAAAATTAAAAAGAATCATTAATTACTCCTGAAAATAAAACCAATTTTCCTACCAATAAACTGATTTTTTTATCAAACAAATTGATCCGAATATTTTTTAAAACAAATAAAAAATTATCAATTTTTCCTAAAAATACAATCGAATTTTCCTAACATTGCACCGATTTTTTTACCAAACAAATTGCATTGAAACAATTTGTTAATGTTTATGCAAGTATCTCTTTCCTAAAGAAAATGATATGAACTTAACAAAAAAAAATGATATGAACTTACCAAAATCTCGATAAAACATGGTTAAGAAAAAATATAAGAATTCAAAAAAATCGATGCACTTAAATTTTGAAAGTTGCACACAATTTTTCCTAAATAATTGGATAAAGTGACTTTAAATATCAAAGATGAGCCGATTTTGTTACCAAAAGATGTGGACACAATTTTGAATGTACATCCCGTTCAAAAATCAATTTTATTCTAAAATACAAATTGCACGTGGTTTTATCCAATTTAAATACTTTTTTTGAAAGAAAAAATTCGGTTAAGAATTATACAATTATTTGTTTCCTAAATTTGTATCGAATTTGTATGGTTTTTAAGTTAATTTGAATTTAAAATTATTTTCATAAATAATTGACACATTTTTTGCATAAAAATCTCCAAATTTGTTACCAAAAAATATATGATTTAAATTTTGGTAAAAAAAATAAAATATGATACGAAAGAAATGGGATTCAAATTTTGTCATAATAAGAATCTCCAAATTAGTTACCAATAAAATGGGATTTAAATTTGTTAGTAAAGATTCAAATGTATTTTTTGAACTTTCCATTAATAGTAAGTCAAACATTAAATTTATTTTGTCAAACTTTCTATTAATGTATTTTTTCAACAACTTATTTATATAGATACACATATAGATTTCAAATTGAAATGGAAAATTTGTGGCCTATACAAGCTGATTTTGTATCACTTTCTATGCTACAGAAAAGGCTTTGGCTTTATTTCCTTTTTATGTTCTAGTCCTTTCGGTACTAATTGTGTCGTTGTATTTTATTTTAGTTTATTTTTTAAGTATCTCAATTTTTCTTTCTTTTCTAAATTATGGTCCGATCTTCCTCTGAAAAACTTTATTCAAGCAGGGTAGATTTCACTGCACTCTACTTGGCATTTGTGTAAATATAATGTGTTGGTATGGTATGTTGGACATATGTTACATACGCTGGTTCAATAGTGAGGACATATGTTGGTTCCCTTTGTGTTTTCGAGGAGCTAGATTAATTCTTGGGCCTTAAAAAAATTTTAGGGTCCTTTAACAAATACAGGGCCCTTTAAAATTCATGGCTTGGCTTGCAAACATGGGCTTTAACATATATCTTTTTTTTTTTTCTTTTTTGTTCTTATGTGGGCCGACCCACTGGTTAGCCAAGAACTATAATTTACTACTAATTTTTGAAAATGTTAAATTTCAATATTCCTTAATAGTAGACAAGAATTATAAAGGCGAAAGGACATATATGACTTTCCACAAAACTCTGTTTCCCAATTAACGAGACTCAAAGTTTTATAACAGATCTAAATTTTCAATTCCAAGATAAGAAGCTGGCCACGAATAAGGAAGGTAAACTTGTTGTCATAAAAAAACAGTCGCTCTCTCCCCCAAATCGCATCCCTTACTGTAGCAAAAAACCTAGCCCGTCGCACGCCTCATCTCCGCCGGCCTTCTCTTCAGCCAGGGGTTTCAATCCGCCACGATGGCCTGGGCAGCAGGGCAATCTCTCCCCTCTTTGTCTTATCTCGATTCTCTTCCGGCGTCAGAGCTTCTTCCTATTGAGAATGTCTGTCGCGGGAATGCTTCGAGATTCGGCGGCAGGGTGGAGGTTGCCGGCGACGTCTGCTGAGGTTGGTGGTCGGCGCTTGGGCCATTGCCTCTCTTCCTTCTGCTCCTCGCCTGGTGTCTCTGAAGTTGGGCGTCGGCAAGGGGTCCGGCTGTTCAGAGCTTCTCCGGCTTCGGCAGCTGGGTATTGGTGGAATGGGTGGTGCGGGGTCCTGTGTGCTTTCGGATGTGGACCCGTTTAGGAGAGGGACTGAACTTGGATGTTGTGGATGTTGTCAGCTAGCTCCGTCTCGGAGAAGGGAGTTTCGTCGTCTACTTCTTGGGTGTGGTCGTACTTTCTTGGTTTCGTTGTCGGGTGTCTGGCTCGGGGGTGTTTTGGATCCTTTTACCGGTTGTTGTGGAGGGCTAATTTGCATCGTTTGTTGGTGTTCTTATTTTTGGATTTGTCTGTGTGTGTTTGTAGTGGCTTGTGTTGAGGAGGGCTTATTATCTATTTTTTTTACTATATCTTAAGTTTATGTTTAGTTTATTTTAAGTTTATTATTACTATATCTTAAGTTTATCTTTAGTTTATCTTAAGTTTATTATCTATTTTTTTTAACTATATCACTCAAAACAAATTGACAAACAAAACATATGAAAAATAAGACTTAATATAAGAAAAAAAAAGAAAAACAAACAAACAAACCATCAGTAAACATCTTCAAAATATAAAAACACAAACACCTTAAAGACAATAACCTTGTCATAGGCTTTCCACTTTTTTGTTTTTAAAGCGTTATTACCATTTCTTTGTATTAAAACTTATTATAGGTTTATAAAACATCACAATAATTCAAATTATAAATTTAAATTTATATATAGTTTATTTTCAGTTTATTATACAAGAAAAAAACAGTTTATTATACTTGAAAAAATTATATAGGGTTTATTTTCAATTTATTTGTAGTTTACCTTAAGTTTGTTACATTATTTTTGTAACTTGAAACTTTTGGTTTTTCTCAAGTTTATTATCTATTCTTTTACTAAATCACAAAAAATAATTTGACAAAAAAAATAAAATAAATAAACATATACAAGATAAAACTAAATATAATGGTTTATCTTAAGTTTATTATCTATTTTTGTACAAAATCATGAAAACCAAATTGACAAAAAAACCAAAATAAAACTAAATATAAACTATAAATAAGACAAAAAAAAGAACAATTAATAATCATAATCTAACCATTAATAAACATCAATCTAACTCTCAAATGTTCAAAACACAAATATATTACATACCAATACACAAACCCTATTAAAACTCCTATACCGTTTCACTGCCTTAAGCATAGTCGGGCCCTTGACAGATTGAAACTCGAACATGTACCTCCAGATCCAAAATCCCTACTCAAGCAGTCCAACTCAAATGCGACTTCCTTCACACACGGCTTATATTGACGAGCACGCTAAGCACTTCTCGGCAAGATTTTCAACTTGCATCAGCACCTCAACCTCACCACACGCCTCCAAACGACTGTCCAAGATCCTTACCAAGTCGTCCCCTCGTCAATAGCTCCACTAGCACCACTGCAAACGATAGACGTCACCTTGTTCTGTCTGTATCTCATGGCTCAAACAGCTCACCGAGCCCAGTGAGTTTTGCATCTCTATTCTTCATGGACTGCTTTTTAATGTTCGTTTGTAAGTGACACTTGCACCGACTTCCTTGTACAGCCTATTGTTGCAGTGTAATTGTTCGTGGTTGTCTGGATGTATCCACAAACTAGCCACAATATCAAGAATTATGAAGCCTGGATGGATAATGAACAGAATGTTCAAACATATTATTTCTCCCATGTAATTTCACAATCTCTTTCAAATACCAAAGTAACTTGAGCATAAACTAAAAGTAAATCCCAGCAACTCATGGGTAATAATTTCAAAATCTCTATCAAATACCAAAGGAAAATTAAGCAAAAATTAAAAACAAATCCCAGCAACTCATAGATCTAAAAATATCAATCAATGAAACTTTCACAACTAAAAAATAAAATCAATTTCTGCTAACCCTAAATTAGCAAAACCACAACTTTGATCTTAAAGGCGGCAGACGGCGCCGACGGCGAGATGAAGAAGCCGACACACTCAACCCAGACCAGCCATTCTTCCATGA